CTTTCTCGAATTAAGTGACTCGAAACACATATCTTGTGACTCGAATCACACAAATGAGTTTCATATAATTTTTTCTTCTTAATTCAAATCACTTAGGTTTTTGATTTCAACCATAACTCTTGCTTTAGACTTAAATCATACATCATTTTCTCTCTTTTTTGTGCTAGATCTCCAACACATATAAATACGATTTTCTCTCAAAACCTTCAAGAATGTTAGAAAACATACACTTTTAATATTGATTTGAAAACTCATAACTCACTTGTTCTCTTATATTTTCAAAAGAGTTTTGAATCTTTCTTGAACACTTGCAAACAATTTTTTTCATATTATACCTTATTCTTTTTCCATTGTTACATGGATCTAAATCTCATCTTTGGATATTTATGTTTGCCGAGGAGATTCATTTATTGAATTTAACGTTTCTTTGAAGATTTGGCTAAGATTTCAAAGGTTTGCAAGGTGCACGGTGTTGTGGACGGTTTTAAAAATAATAGTGGAAAAGAAAGAGGTTTTTCGCTCCAAGTTCATCTTAGTAGTGATGTGTGAAAGCCTATAAATAAGGTGAAAATTCTTCCCAATATTTGGACAAGCCAATGCTTAAGATATCGGTAGGATCTAGAAAAGAACACTATAAAATGATGACTTTGGAGCAGGTTGTTGGGGTTGAAAAATTTAAGGTGGTTTCGAAGATTTCCCAAAAGTTTAGTTTTTATATTGTGTACAATTTAAGGGATCCAAATAGAAGATTTTTATATTTTCAACATTATTTGGATATTGTGATTGTACGGAACTCATGTAATCTGTCACAAATCATGGTGGAAAATCAAAAGTTTTCAATGGACAACCATTGGATATTGGAATAATCTTAGCAATGACGATAGTTGGACCACTATAAATCTCGATGTACTTCTCTCTCTCTCTCTCTCTCTCTCTCTCTCTCTCTCTCTCTCTCTCTCTCTCTCTCTCTCTCTCTCTCTCTCTCTCTCTCTCTCTCTCTCTCTCTCTCTCTCTCTCTCTCTCTCTCTCTCTCTCTCTCTCTCTCTCTCTCTCTCTCTCTCTCTCTCTCTCTCTCTCTCTCTCTCTCTCTCTCTCTCTCTCTCTCTCTCTCTCTCTCTCTCTCTCTCTCCCTCTCTTTAGTTTTGCAGAAATCACATGTTAGGTTGTTTTCTAGAATTACATGCCATTAAGATTTCTTTTGATAGCGATTTATTTGTAAAGTGTAGGTTTTGCTAAAATAACAACTTTAAGTTTGTTTTGTTGAAGATTAAACTAAAAATTGTGATTGTAGAATCCATATAGTATTGATATTGTACAATCACACATCTTGTCTTGATATATTCAATACATAGCATTACTTTATGTACTTTGGTAGGTTTTGTATTTCGTTCTTGATTGCTTTGTGTATTGTTTAAGTCGTTATGTCCAAATTTTAATCAATAATCATAATCTCTTTTATACGCTAAAATTTGTTTCCACAACACAAATCATTTTGTTTTTAAAACTCTGATAAAAGTTTTTCAAAACTATTTTCAACTAAGATTTTAATTGGAAAGTCTATTCAACCCCTCCCCCCCACCACCACCTCTAGACGGTTGAATACTCCATATTTATGTTTAAGAGTTCTAACATGGTTTCTGAGATTTCTAAGGCTTGAGCACCATCAGCGAAAGTAACATTTACATTCATTTGTTACTTCAAATTCTTCACACCGTGTTCATTTTCTCTTGTTTGATACTTGGAGAAATTTCATAGATCATTTCAAGAGTCTCACATTTCTTTGGCGGAATTACAATTAAGGACATATAAAAATTGATTTTCATTTAAAGACATAACTAAAAGTTTTTAGCTTTGAAATCAATTCTAAACTTTCTATTGTTTTCTTTTCCCCAAAAGAAAACAAGTTTATTTACTACTTCACGATTAACATAGTGAGTAGGGATAAACATACAATTGATTATTGTTTCTCATAATTTAAGATAAAAACTTTGAATGAATATTTAAATACCAGATTTCTATAATTCAAACTTATCACCATTAAACGGTAGATGTGTGTTTAGGAAAGTCCTCTTGTTAAAAGAAGTGTTGGAAGCCATCTTTCTCTTGAAACGATTAGTCTTTAAACATGAGTTAGCCTCTGATGTCACTTGTTGAACATGCGACTCCATACACAAGAGACACTATTATAAAATATATCTTTCGTAACACCATCTTACAATGAACGTTTAAAAAACCATAGTAATATTTCATTTTCGCTTGCCTGAATTTTTTATTATTTTATTGAAATACATTTCTTCACGATCCTTAATAACAACTGTTGTGATAAATGAAAGGTTACTTGCTTCGATTTCTAGCACCAACATTTTTATGAGGTGTTCTACAAAATTTTTTGATAACGAATGAGGAGCTCTTTGGTCCATTGCTTCTCATAGTCACCGTAAGAATAAAAACTGTTAATCAATTTATATAAACTTTGATCCATGTACATAGGAAATTAAATTATTAACTATATGTAGATTATCAAGAAGCTATATCTATATATAAAATGATTGAGAAACTGCAAACAAAATTTTATCATCTTTTCTCAATCAATTTGATGCAAACACGAGAGACAATTTTGAACTTAGTTCTTGTAGTTCTCTATCTATTATTGTTACTATTCCTAGATTAGTTATTATAATATATATTGCTTGATGATACCAAGTGCAACCTTTCCATACATGTTTTAACTTAGTTCAGCTACTGCGGAGAAGTGTATATAACCCATTTATGCATAATTGATATTTTAAGTTTTAATTGTGAATTAGTGAATCTTAAGACCCGACGATGTCTATATAGTCATTAATGAAGCTGGAATATTGGAGGGAAGCTTTAGCATATTCAAACTAACCATACCAATCTATTAAAGTATGTCATTCGATACTTCTATCCTCAATAATTGACACAATTATAGACTTTCTTAACACTAAGTCTATTGGTGGTTTAAGTCGCTACTTCCATTTCAAAGTTTGTCATTCTTTTTTATTCTATTGTTCTCTTGATTTTTGGTGTTAATTTTGGCAAGAACAAGGCTATTGAAGATGCTGTAATAGACTGTGTTTAATTTTGATTTCATTTTGTTGCATAGAAGAGATTTACTAAGTGTCCAATGAAGAAAATGCATTTTGGTCATGTCAAAATTTATCACACTGTTTGTGTAGATATTTTGTAGTTGTGTTTGTGTATAGATTATGTTATTTTAGAACATATTTAATGTCATTTTAATTTGGTGACTTTAATTTGAATAAAAAAATATAACAAAATTATAATTTAATGTCATTAAATTCAAGAATATGTTGATATAAAATTTTGGTATGATAAATAATAAATTATGGTATCATAAAATGTTATGAAATTTTATTCTGGTGACTTTAATTGCAATTTGGTTAAATCAACATAAATGTTTTTAAAAAACTAAAATGTAACATTTATTAAATAAGAGATTAAAGTGAAATTTAAAATTACATGTGGAACGCAATTTAAAAAATGTGATTGAGTTTAACTCAATCCTACAAAATTAGTTGATAAAGTGAGGATTACCCTTGCTTATAAACATATGTTTATGCGTTGTTTGACGTAAACTCTTAACAAAATATAATAGGATTGAAGATGATACCATTTTCAATCAAATATCACATTATAGACTAAATATGTTATTTATTGATCATAATAACATTTGCATTTACATTATAAATAGAATGCTAAATCTAACTGATGAAGTTTAATTCTCAAAATATATAATTAATGTATATAAATCAATTTTTGAAATTTAGTTGGGATAAACAAAATCATATTTAACTTCATTATTAGAGGTATAATTTGTAGTATGATTTAGACGTTTACGATAAAAATAATTTGAATTACAAGAAAAAAATACATATTTAATTTGATTTAATTGATTTTTAAAATTAAAATCGAACCAAATCAAAACAAACTATGTTGTTTGGATTGATTAAGTTCTTAATAATATTTTTATTAAGTTATATATCCATATTGAAAATAAAATAATTTTATTTTTAATCTTTCATAGATTATTATAAAATAAGTTTATAATTAGATTCATAAATATGATTTGCATCTTACCATTTTATTTTATATCTAAAGAATAATATCCATAAAATTGTACTCTTAAATAAATTTGAAATAATATATTATATAATTATAGCAAAAGGGCATGCACGTTATTATACTAGTTTTATAACACTATAATTTATTTTTTTATCATCAATATTTTATAGATAAAAATAATGTAAATTAAACTTTTTCTAATCTTTTTCTTATTAACAGTAATAATTTAAAAACGAAAATAAAACTAAATGTATTATATTTATAATATTTTAAATAAAAATAATAATATTTATAAATAAATAATATTTTGTTTTGGAATTAATTAGAATACATGCAGTGTAAACTCACTTGTCATCCAATTAAAATATATAAATATAAAATTAAAAAATTATATTTAAACTGGTTCTTTCTTCTTATATGTTAAAATGATGAATTCTAATTGAATAACAATATAAAATGATGGTTTTATACTAATAATATATTTTAATTAGTTTTTTGTTTTTATTGAAATGCGAATTAAAATAGATATCACACAATATATAAGATTTTACAAAATCTGATGCATTTCAAACGCTTCTATTAGAAAATAATCCAAATATATTCGAATTAAACACAATATTTTTATGATTTTCAATTTCATTTAATTCGATTAATGATTTTTTCAATTTTGAACATCAAATAAAATTACATCACATGATAAGAAAAAAACGTTTTTGAATTTGTAGTACCAAAAGCAATTGCATTTATTTCCAACAATGACTGCCGTAAATGTCATCCATCATCTCTGACAAGCCTTTACTCCTCTCATCCCATCCAACCCAACACAGAATGCATCACCAACCAAATTACCAAACCCAATAAATCAGTTTCGCTGAAACCCTAACCACCAAACTATGGCTTCTTCTCTCCATCTCTCCACACCCTCTCTCTCGCGTCCACGGTCAGTTTCACCCTTTCAATTTCTCTTCATTTCACGCCACACTATTATTCATTATCGTTTCTGGAACCAACCATTTTCACACAATTATATCTCCTTACAGAAATTATGTTATGGCGTGTAAAAGATATAGAGATTTATTTTGCTCACAACTTGGGAACTCGTTGAATTGAAGCTTAAACCTAATTGTAGTTAATGTTACTGAAAACTAATCCATATTATCATAATTTTCAGCTGTGGCGGATTACATATTTTAATTTTTTAGCTTATTTCAACTCCAATTTAGCTTATTTAATGAATAAAGCTATACATTTCTTCAATCAATTGAGTTGAGCATGTAATTATCTTTTACTAATTGTAGCTTTTGTCTCCTCTTCTGTTCAATATAGGGTATGCAAAAATTTCAAATTGTTCAATCAGCTGAGCATTATAAATTCATCTAAGCTACACGTGTGTGGCTCAGATTTGGCGTTTGTTCGGCTAAGCTCTAAATTCCCTTCACGGCTCAATGCTGTAAGTAGACTTAAAGCTGCATTGACCTCTGGAGGAGGAGACTTAAAAAATGAAGATATGGTTGGTGTTGAATCGGCACAACCTGATCCAGTAGCACTTGGAATACTGGGAGTAGATACGGCTTTAACAGGCAGTGGTTTTGCTGATGATAACGATGAGTTTGATTCGGACAGTCCAACGAAAGGTTTTGCTTCCATTCCTGAGGCCATAGAAGACATTCGTAGTGGAAAGGTTGTTACTCTCTGTCTCTATGGGTATTCTTTTAACTGTTAATGCAAGGAAGGCTTGTGTTGTTAGAAGTTTTGGTTTTATGTTGCAGCCACTTAGCTTTCTATCATTAACTGATATTAGTATTTCAGATGGTAGTGGTTGTAGACGATGAGGATAGAGAAAATGAAGGAGACCTAATAATGGCAGCACAGTTGGCAACACCTGAGGCTATGGCTTTTATTGTGAAGCACGGAACTGGTATTGTTTGTATAAGCATGAAAGAGGAAGATCTAGAGAGATTAGAGCTTCCTTTAATGGTCAACAGTCGGGATAATGATGAGAAACTCCGCACAGCATTCACTGTGACTGTGGTATGTACAATTTGGTGCGTACATATTTTATCTGGAGTTACTTCTGTATCCATCTGATCATGGCCTTCCATTGTTACATCTTCTAAAAACTATATATACTGACCTTATAATTTATCTCATCTTAGCTGCACTGTGTAGGCATTAAGTTTGACAAAAATTCAATACTACTTCATTTTGTTGCATTTAGTATCTCTTGTCTCCCAGGATTTAACGGACATTTACTTATTATATGCTAGAATAATATCCTGTCATACAAAGTTATTGAAATTTAATAAACTATAATTATGACAGATTGATTTTCCCTATGTAATTCAGTAATTTATCTATGCAATTTGCTATGTATCAACTTTTTACATGACATTTGTAGGATGCCAAACATGGTACCTCCACAGGGGTGTCAGCCCAGGATAGGGCAACCACAGTTTTGGCCCTTGCATCCAAAGATTCAAAACCAAGTGATTTCAACCGCCCAGGCCATATTTTCCCACTAAAATACAAGGAAGGTGGTATCTTGAAGAGAGCTGGACATACAGAAGCTTCAGTTGATCTGGCAGTACTTGCTGGTTTGGATCCTGTCGCAGTTCTATGTGAGGTTGTGGATGATGATGGTTCCATGGCTAGATTACCTAAGCTTCGCCAATTTGCTGAGCGTGAAAATTTGAAAATTATATCTATTGCTGACTTGATAAGGTATGTGGTAGCATTTAGTGGAAGATGTAGTAAAATACATTATTTGAATTTTATGTTGTCGATTATGTTCATATTTTACATTCAGTTACAGCACGGGACGGATCTAAGGGGAGGTTAGGCATGGGTCCTGACCCCTCCTTCCCTTTCATCAGATACAATAGAAGAATACAGAGATTACATACGTAGATCAATGTTGATAGAGAGCTGAAGCAACTGAACTAAAATATGATCAATGTTTTCAAGCATGAGCAAATAAAGACCCCATTTATTATAAGCATGTAATTGAGAAAATGGAGTGAACCTCCAATGAAGCGAATGGACTAAAAAGATGGTCGCGTCTCTTTTGATTTTTGTACCAACTTGCCGTTTTTTCTCTTCCTATAAAGTAAGGAGGTTCTAGGTCTTAAGGGAAACTTTAATGAAAAACGAATCATTCGTTCAATTATCTCATTATTCTAATTTAACTTTAATATACAACAACAACCAAGTTTTGTCCCACCAAGTGAGGTTGTCTACATTGATCAAACTACGGTCTAACTACGTTCTAATGTTTATCAAAATCCATATTTCTATTTGACTCATTAATCTCAAGATTTTTCCTAATAGTTTCTTTTATGGTTTTTTTAGATCTTTCTCTATCTTTAGTTGTTTGACTACCTTTCATCAAATCTATTCTGCTCACATCAAAATCCACACATCAATCGCAACATCCTCATCTTTGCTACACTTATTTTATTTTGTAATGGTTTTTTACCGCACAACTGTGTGTCCTGAACAACATCGCTAGTTTTACAGTTGTCAAGTAAATTTGCCTTCAGTTTGAGTGGTACTTTTGTATCACATAAAACTCCCGAAACACTCTTTCATTTCAACCACCCAACTTAAATTCAATTGTTTATGTCTCATTCTATTTCACCTTCATTTTGAAATATGGATCCAAGATATTTAAACCAGGTAATCTATGGTATGATATGATCTCCAACTTTCACCTCTAGGTTATAAACACTTCTCCTTTTGTTAAATTTACACTCCATATACTCCGTCTTACTTTTGCTTAGGCGAAAATCATATGTTTCTAAGGTTCGTCTCCAAGTCTTGAACCTCTCATTTAACTTCTTCCTCGACTCACCAAGTAGAACTATATAATCTGTAAAAAGTATACATCTCGGTGCTACCGCTTGGACGTGTTCCGTCAGTACATCTAAAACTTAAGTAAAACGATATGGGTTAAGAGTTGAAACTTTGTGCAATCCTATTGTTATGGAAAAATCCGTTTGTCTCTCTACCTTGTGTCCTCAAACTAGTCGAGACTACTTCATACATATCTTAGATAACTCAATTGTAGGCAATCTTAACCCTTTTATTCTCCGGGACTTTTTACAAAATCTCTCTTGACACTCTCCTATGCCTTCTCTAAGTCAATGAAAATTAAGTGCAAGTCTTGTTGATCTATTCAATACCTCTCCTTCACACGTCATAGTAAATAAATTGCTTCATTGTCGGCATAAAACCAAATTGATTATTACCAACTCGAGTCTCTTTTATTAGTCTCCGCTCAATCACTCTTTTCCATAGACTCATAAGTTTAATACCTCTATAATTTGCACAATTTTGTATATCTCCCTTGTTCATATAGATGAGAATTAAAGTGACATTTCACTCAATGTATTTTCAATTACCATTACAAAAATTGAAATCCTATTTTGCTTATCTTCCACTAAATTCCCTGCATCGCAACTAATAAACAAAAAACTCCTATAAGCACCTTCAAAATTTCTATGATTATTTTGCCTTTTCAGTTTTCACACTTCTATTTTTTTTTTGTTCCTTACCTAATTCTCTTCTTTACCTTATTTTTCCTTCCCGGATACTTTTGTTGCTTTTGTTGGCTACTCGTCAAGGAGATTAACACCTATTAGTCTTGCAGGTATAGAAGAAAGAGAGATAAATTAGTGGAACGTGCTGGTGCTGCACTAATACCCACAATGTGGGGGCCATTCACAGCTAACTGTTATAGGTCACTTTTAGATGGGATGGAGCATATTGCGATGGTAAAGGTGAGAAATCTTGAGTTTATATAGATTTATATACATGGAAGGCAATACAAATGAAGTTCTGATAGTTTAACTTTGATTTTTACTAAATCAAAAAGAAAAATGTCAGCATGAGAAGAAGGATACTAATATAGTAGAGCAGTATGATTTTGCTCAATCAGCATTTTTTCTATGTTAAGCATTCAGCTCTGCATTAGTGCATTATTTTATATTCTTCAATCCCACCTTTTTTAGGAATAATATATTGATAATGACCTGTTGTTACATTTGTTTGTTGCTGTTAGAATTTTAAAAACTAAATATAATGGGGTATAATTTATTTATTTTGGAAATTTTTTGAGTCACATTGATGCTGCTGTTTTCCCATACTTGAGTTCAATCCTATGTTCTGAATTCAGAATATTCCAATGTATACCTTGTTTTGAAATCAGTACCTTGCGAATAGAAGCTTAAGTTATTGGCATAAAAGAAATGGCTTCCTTATGGGTATGTTTGGTTTGAGAGGAATGGAGGGAAGGGGAAGGATCAAAATCTCTCCTAACCCAATCCCATCTCTCTTCCAAAATGGGGGATTTGGAGGGGAGAGAAAACTTGTTGCAATTTTGGACTTGTACACCCCTTTATTTAGTGTGATTTTTTTATTAGAATGGTAAAAATGTAATTTTACACTTCTTCCATTAAAATCCATCCCCTTCCCTAGGTTGAACCAAAAAGACCCTTATCAAGCTACTTAAAATTAGTCTGCCAAAGCTATAAGTCCTGAAAAACTTGCCAATGAGAGATAGCTTGAAATTCGGCATAGTGGTCCTAATGGTTTTGTACAATTCTGATTAAAAATATGTTGGCTTCAGCGAAATAAATATGATATAGAATGCCTGACCAGGCAGATGAATATCCATGATTTTTTCAAAATGGAAAAAGAAAAAGATAAAGGGCTTCTTGATCCAAGGTCCACTAATAGGTAAATTTTGAGTTTAGGTCACTGTAATGCTCACTCAAGATTGAGTGAAGTCTTGGGCAGTCCCAGGGATCAAGTCACTTCTCCAGATTTGAATGTGTTCCCCAGGAGTTAATTGAATTATCATTCTGACCTTATTATCATAATACTGACATTATCAGTGCGTGTTTTTCCTTCAGTGATAAATTGATGTATATCTCTTTTTGTAACATACATTTTGCCTGAATGATTTGCCAATTGGAGAACTATTCCAATTTAAATTTGTACATTTGCATGATTCAATACACGACATGTTAGATGTTATAATTGGACTTTTCTTTTTTTCCAGGGTGACATTGGGGATGGATGTGATGTTCTTGTGAGGGTACACTCAGAGTGTCTCACAGGAGACATATTTGGATCTGCCAGATGTGACTGTGGAAATCAGCTTGCTCTTGCAATGCAACAGATTGAGGCTGCTGGTAGAGGTGTGTTAGTATATCTTCGTGGACATGAAGGAAGGGGTATTGGATTAGGCCACAAGCTTCGTGCTTATAACCTACAGGATGAGGGCAGGGATACCGTAGAAGCCAACGAGGAGTTGGGATTGCCTGTTGACTCAAGAGAGTATGGAATTGGTGCACAGGTAATTATGATATAAATCATTAGTTACTTGAATATTGAACATCTTATACTCAATTATTTTACCATATTCAATTCATGGTGATGTACATGATTATTATGGGAATTTACAACAGAACTAGATGTTTTAATTAGTAGCATTCTCTCAAAAAGGTTAGAATTTGAAATTCTAATTGCAGATATTGAGGGATTTGGGTGTTCGTTCTATGAAGCTGATGACAAACAATCCAGCAAAATATGTTGGGCTCAAAGGTTATGGCTTGTCAATTTCCGGTAGGATCCCGTTGTTATCACTTATCACTAAAGAAAACAGGAGATACTTGGAAACCAAACGTCTGAAAATGGGGCATGCGTATGGCTTGGAATTTTACAGCAAGTTGAATCATAGTGACAATGGAAATGGTAATGCTGGTAGTGTTGATGATTCCAATGCTGCTCCTGGCTCATAATCCTGTCTTTGTCCTATATGATACGCACATGCAACAGAAGAAGGGAAGTGTAAATTTCTGTACTGATTCAGATGGATATAAGAAGATAGAAGTGTCCTGATTCTACTTGTGATTTATTTTTTTACAATTCATTTGCATGATTTGTCTTCTGTCTGGCTTTAAGGGTCATTTGAAACTTTATATAGGGTCATGCGATTTGTAATGCCTTAACTAATTTGAGGTTAACTTTTCTTGCTTTTTTTTTGTCTAATAGCTTAGTAGTTGGAATTTGATCTCTTAAAAGTGAATAACAGGAACATCACAGGTAACATGCGCTCATGCGATGGCTCTGCACATCTATATAACTTTTCTTGTTTTCTTTTGTAGAAAACTAGAGGTTCTGCTTTTGTATGGTTTCATTATACAAGAGTGGGTGTGTATTTTTGTGGAAGTTAAGGTACCTTGTATAAGTGATTAAGGGTTTCTTTATTATTTATTTTTGGTATAAACTAGATATCTTCTGTGAATTTTTGTTGAGTGGTAACTTCTAGATTGCTATTTTATTTATTAAATGAATTGCTCTAGTTAATAATATTATTTTTTTAATGCCGTTAAATATTTGATTGGAAGTGTGTTTTTTGATAGCTGTGATTGGAATGTATTAAAATTTTATAATCTATAATTGAAGCAAAATCTGTTTTTTATTAGAAAAAACTTGCAGATGAGATTTTTGCTTAGCATTGGCACGAGAAAGTCAACATAGAAACGCAAGCCTTAGTCAGTGAAAGCACTACCATCTACTAGTATATGCTAAAAATAATCATGCCATGTGCTGGAGCTCTTGAAATGAATATCTCTGGTTAAATACGAAATGATTATGAATAATCAATATTCAAAATTGAACCTTGAGCATGATGCAGCAAAGAAAATATCTGAACAAATAATATATATAATTTAAGGGGTATTTCCTAGTCTACTTTTCTGAAGTGTCATTTTATGGAAAGTACAATTTTACCCTTAATTTATTTTTAACTTGGACAATTTAGGGGTATGAAAGTGCCAACCGCTTAAATTTTAGTTTCTCCTTTACCCTAACCATGCTATTGTTTCTTACAAGGAAAATTGAGACACAACAACACTGAATATGTGTCAAAAAAAAAACACCGAATATGTAAGCACGACCCTCCTCTGCTTTTTCATTTTTACTATACACATTTTAAATAAATGAGATGTACTTTAACTTCAATAATAATAGAGATAAAAAAACAATTAAGTGATATTGATTATAGGTGTTGGTGGTCATAAAATTGTACTGAATCAAACTATATTAATGATTTGGTTAATGTAAAACGGTTTTAATTCACTTTGTATTTATAAATTGGTTAATAATCATTTTTTATTTATAAATTGATTTAATATTTTTTTAACACCTAAATCATAAATCAGCACGGTAGAACAACCTACCGTTGGGTGGCAATAATAAGTGACTTTTAATGGTGTCATTGTTTGATAATACTAGTGAGAGGAATTCTATTGCGAACTTGAGAGATTGAATTGGAGATGTAGATATACACTTCGGTTGAATGAGATATGGACATGAGGTCACTAGATTGTGGTAATCGTATGAATCCAAGATTAATTCTCACAAGAGTCGCCAATATTTTATTCAAGAACGAAATAATGATCGGAGATGTTGAATCGATTGCTACATTGCGGTGGAATTGAGTTTCGATAGAGTGAAGTGAGACTGAATGCTCAAGTCGGTGAGAAAAATGAATAATGTAATCTCAATTAGGAATGAAATTTGTACTTGTAAATAATAGAGAAGTAAAGTACACTTTCTACTTAATTGAGGGCGAGTTTAATCACTACAAACATATATTTGTTGTTTATTTTACTACCTCCCTGACAAATGCGTTGTCATCATAAAAAAGGAGGAGAATGTGAAATCATGTTTTACAGGATTAGTGATCAAGGAAGATCTCAACCCTTGAATATGCTTTTGATGATGAGAACTAAACAACTAAATTACAAGCATAACAAGCGGTTTAAAGATGCAAGCAGATCATATAGAATTTGATAAGTTTGATCCTCTAATGATGACAACTGAATGAAATATAACTCAAGCCTCATCTCCAAGTAAAGTTCAAGCAATTGTCTATAACATTGAAGCATTTGACAAGTCTTGAAGTATGAAAGCTCGCCTTGACGCGTATGAGTGAATAAGCATTGTAAAAGCATAAGTGCTTTCTCATAAAATTTAAGGTTAACCCCACACACACACACAGACACACACTAAAATGAGTTTTATAACTTATTTTTCTCAAAAATAATATTTCAAAAATTTTATTGAAGTCGTGTCATATGAATTGGGAGCTGTCAGAAAAGTTCTGGACAATTTTTCATATTGGTCAATCGATTGACACTTATACCTAATCGATTGGGTTAGATAAAAAATGTGTCATAAACATTTAGGATAACATCTTAATAATGAGAACGATTGTGTATCTTTTATTGCCTTTTGAAACTTTCTAATTGATTATTTTTAGGCCAACTAATCGATTGGTGCATATGCCAATCGTCTGGCTCATCAATTCTGGCCCCAAAAAATTTCCTTTTTTGTGATAACATCTAGCCTATAAATAGAGGTCTATTCTCTCATTTTTTTTCATATCCCGAATCTTGAGTTCTCATACCTTACTCCTCAGTATCTCTCTATAATATTTTTCTTTACTTTATCTCACTTAAATTTAGTCGTAGTACTTTCCAGAAAGTTCTTTTGCAAGTGAAACATTTGTAGTTTTTGAATTGTAGTAGTGTAAATTCACCAAGGAACTTTATTTTTATCTTGGTTGAATAATTCATCCATTTAGGGATTGTTTATTTGAGTTCAAAGCTAAACCCTTTAAAATGTTTGGTCTAGGGATTTAGTTACTAAGTCATCGGTTTGGTTCGAAGGCTCATCCCGTTCAAAAGTTTTCATCAGTTCGAGATCAGCCTAATGTTAAAATATCAAGTTGGTTGGTGGTTATCTTGTGTAAAACATCTATTTGGTTCGTAAGATAAGCCAGGTTAAAAGCTTGCTAAGGTTGGAAATAAGCCCAGTATAAAATCTCCTAAGTTCGTGAGTTTAACCCTGATTAAAAGTTTGCCCAAGTTCAAGATTAACCTTTGTAAAATCTGTGTGGTTGGAAGTTAGCCACAAACTTCATTTTTCTTGTATAAATGAGTTTTGAGAGTTCAGCTTACTAAAAACTCTTAAGTTTATATGATTCCAAACTTTTAGATTATCTTCTAGGATTTGCAGCTTTTTTTTTTGTTAAAACAAACATGAGACAACCTACTAAATAACTTTAGGCGTTGGTAGTTATATTTTAATTTTGTACATTTTTTACATATTTTATCTTTAAAATATCTTAACTTATATAATTTTTGTTATTAAAGTTTAGATGTTTCTGTAATTTATATTTATTTTATTTTAATCATTATATAACTATTTTAACAAAAATAATAATTATTAAAATTATTTCCTTATATATTTATGATAATTTGAATAAAATTAATTTTCTTATTAACTTTTTAAAAATAGATTTGTGTGGTCCCTAAAAATAATATAAATTTATCTTCGTTGAGTAAGTTATAAATGATTGTTTTTTGTTTATCTATAGATTAAAATTATTCAATGTTTACTCAAAAAATAAATTTTATAACTAATTACAGTTATATCTTATTAATTTTAATAAACATAAAAATATAAAAGAATGAGCACTGTTGAAGAATCTGAATTTCGGAATGATGTACATAAAATGATATCATTATATATCATCAAATTAGTGATATGATAATAAAATAAACATAAATATATAAATAAATCAAAACAAAAATACTTATGTAAGAGATTATTTATTATTGATTAGGATGAATACAAAATTATATCAAATTAAATTTAACATTATATTAAGAAAATAACATTAGAGGTTAATAAAAATTGTAGGTTTATAATTAATTAAATCAATTCGTTTGTATAAATAATGTCAAAGTGGTTTAACTTGACACTTAAATCCAAAAAATAGAGGAATATTTTATAATAGAAAAAGTAAAAAATAGTAGATCAAATCTTGGGTGAAAAATTGAAGTTAAGGAGTGAAAGTTAAAGAATATAAAAAGCAAAATCAAACAACATTTTATTAATAGGTTTAAACAACCTCATGGAAGACATAATTAGTCGAAGTGCATTTCAATCAACTTAGTCGGGAAAATTGTCTTAGTTTGGAAGCCCCTTTTTGTTTAGAAGAAATTAAAGAGGAAATTTGGTTAAGTGAGAGAGACAAAGTCCTGGTCAAACGGGTTTAATATGGGTTTTTTACCAGACTTGTGTGAATATCATTCACGGGAATTTGGTGGCTTTCTTAAATGAATTCTATGTAACATGCATTCGTCCGAAAGCAAATTTTGCCAACTTTTTGACGCTAATCCCGAAGGTTGGAAATGCGCAAGAGGTTGGTGATTTTAATGCCAATTTGCTTGGTTTCAAGTTTGTACTAGATTGTGGCTAATGTTCTGGCATTGATATAGAAAAGAGTTATTTCTCTTTTGATATCTAGAAACCAATCGGCGCTTGTTCAAAATAGAAAAATGCTTAATGGGTTCTAGTGATTAATGAGGTTGTTAACTTAGCTATGAAATCTAGATGAGAGTGTTTGCTTCTTAAAAGTGGATTTCAAAAAAGATTACAATAATGTTTTATAGAATTACCTTAGAAGTGTCATGAGGAGGATGGTTTTGGTGTAAAGTGGATGAAATGGATGGAAGGAAGCGTTTTTCTAATAATTTCACTGTGTTAGTCAATGGCAGTCCGACTAAAAACATCAAAGTTTGTAGAGAGTTAATACAAGCCAGTATCTCCTTTCTTATTTCTTCTAGCAACTGGAGGTTTGTTAGGGTTAGTAAGAATGTCATCTTAAAGGGAGATTTCAAACCTTTTAGAATTAATGATGACATCCAAATTGAAATTCTTTAAT